TGATTTTCAGTTGGGACTGAAGGTGCCCATTAGCCAGCTTCACTGAGCTAGTCAGCGCATGTTGTTGAAGCAAGTGGAACTTGCATTTTTTATTTGTATCTCATCTTTTAATAGATAGAAAATTTGCTTTTTGAATGCCTTATTAGGCATATTGAATTCCTTTTTATTTGCTCCTAATGTCCAGTCCAGTGATTTGCAATTTCCCATTCTCAATGGTATACTTTGTAGGAAGATTAACATTCTTTTTTCCCAACTTCCTTCCCAGCATCCATGGCTCCTTCCAGAAAAAGGGACATCGCTGGTGGTGCCTTTAGAGCAATGATTGCTGGTACCGTTGCCTGCTTCATGACAGCCTGTATTGCAGGTACCCTACCTAACTTGTAATATCACTGTGTGACCACCGGGTGGCAGTGTGTTAGTATGGTAACTTTGTAAGTAGACAGTGTGTGTTATTTAGCTGTCAGCGTTCCTATCCCTTAAAGATGGATAAAAGTTGCTAGGGTTGAACTGAAATTTGGGATGTAAAAAAGACTCTTCTTATTTCTTCTTCTATATCGTATGTATCAATTTTAAAATTTGCTACTCAACACATAATTACTCATTCATAGTAAAAAAGATAATTACAAGTTACAAGTGAATTGAAGTCCCTTCCCCACTCCTCTGCTCTGCTGTACCGTGTATCTAAAAATTAAAGAAACAATGACAAGGAGGAGGAGCGAGCCGGGGAGTATAGCTCTTCTCTTGTGTTATAATAAATGAACATTTTGGGGCTGAGTCTGTACATCAGCAGTAACTATACTGAAGATAATGGCCTTACACTAGTAAAAGTGTGATCAGAAACAAGCCTTATATTTTCAAAGCTGCGCCATGAAGTTGAGCCATTAGCTACAAAAAAATCACCATTTCAGAGAGGAAATGGAAAGAGAATGTAACACTATGCATCACTGCAGGGATTAATTCTTTAGCCAACTGTTGAAGGATTTAAAAAATAATCCAGTATGGTTAAATGAAACAAGTTTTTTTTCCTTTCCTTGAATCTAACTAGCCCCTTTCTACCTTGGCGTTCTGAGCATGCACTATGAGACTCAAAGAATTCATACTGTTTCAGTTCAGCTATGATCTTGGCACATAATTTGGCTCAGAACAGCATATCCATATCAGCTTTTGTTCGCTCATCAGGCCCTTCCCATTTCTTGGAGACAAGGGTCCTTGAAAGTGCACAGGTTGAAATTTTAATAAATAGCAATCTTACCCAGGGAAACTGGGGCATCAGAAAACCTTGCAAGGAGTGGAACCTGAAGTTTCCAGGCCTGACTAGAAACATAAATTGGGAAGAGGCATAAATTATTTTCTCCACATGGTCCTTAGGCACCCCAAGTCAGATTTTCAAAGGCGCTTCAAGTTACAGAAGTGCTTTAACAGATTAGACACCCAACTCCAATTGAATACACACCTAAAGACTTTTGAAAATCATGCTATTAGGAGCCAAAGTCCTGTTTTCATAGGTGACTTAAAAAATTAATGGGACTTTGGATTCTTTGACTCAAAAATCTTACCCTTAGACTCAATCTCACTATGAACTACTTGACCACTTGCTGCCATGCTAAAACTCCAGGTATTTTGCTTTCTTACAGGTAAGACCTAATCCCATTAAATCAGTCTTACCTTATTGGATGACAGCCAATAAACCCTCAAAATGTCAAGCAGTATATAACAGCTCATTTGAAAAAAAAAATGCTAATTTTCAGAGAGAGAGAGAGAGAGAGTGAAGAGGTTTTTTTGTTTTGTCTTTGTTTTTAAGATAGCCACATTTCAGAACTGTAACGAATGACTTGATGTGTTTGAAATAAATCAATTTCCCTGGGGATCAAGCCACTCCAGTCTCCTCACTGCTGGGTGTCGCCTGTTATAAATGGGAGAAACTGTACTTGTCATTTTTCACTCTGGTTAGCAGAGTGACATAGGCCTTGCCTTACTAGGAAAAAAAGTGTTCTTTCCTCACATTAGCTAATGCATAGTAGCTAACAGGAGGTAAAACCCTGAACACAAGGTAGCCTTAATACACGAGTTAGCAGGTCAAGGTAAAGGGTAACTCCTTTCCTTGTAGTGAAAGCTACAGCCTTTTCTTGATTAGCAGTTTACCATATGTCACTTACCACCTGTTTGCTAGCATCAGGTAAAAACGGATCTCTTTTCCTACTGAAGACACACCTCTAGAGACTTCTGTTATAGATTAAGGCAACTAACACCACTGTACTCAATTTCCAGGAATATTATCTGTGCCTGTTGTGGAAGACGTTCCATGCTACATTATGTTAGGGAATGCCTTCAACTCAACAGGGTCACCAAGCAACACCACAAAAGTAATTAGATGCTGCCAAGACCTTTTTAACAGGTACGGACAAGTTCTTCATTCTCTCTTCAGGTAGCTCTTTGAACTCAGGTGTTATTTATCACTGCTGTATTTTTTGTGGCAATGTTTTAGGAAATAAAGGTAAACAAAGGTAAAGGTAATGGCAAGATACAAAAGATATATCAACATTCAAAGACATTGCTTTTTCTAGTGCAAATAATGAAAACAAAGTATGAGGTGACATGAAAGTTTGGAATGCAAGAGTTACTATTGCAGAGTGCATAAAACTCGTTCACCCACCTTGGTTGGTTAGTTTTCTAGCTGGAGGTCCAACAGCCTGATTTTGTTTTTGAGCACTTGACTCTGTTTCCAGGCAGCATGAGTGACTGGTGCCTCCTGAATCTGGGGGGGCACCCACAGAAGCCGCTGACCCTGTTGGGGGGGGCACCAGCCCTACCGACAGCTTCAGTGTCGGCCATCAAGGGGGGCACTGGCCCTGTCAGAGGGGCACATGCACCCCTGTGCACCCCCTACCGGTTGCCTATGGGTTACAGTGACATTGTACTCCTTAAAGAGATTAATACTTTAACTCTGTCTGAACAAACTCTTTTGGGTTTTCTTGTAAATATTCACTTCTCCTCTATCAAATGAACACATTTCCTCACTATCAAATAATAGTGCACTATCTCGCCATAACTATACATCTGACATAAATCAGAACCTTTTCCTTCAAGACTGTGTGTTTGGATGGAAAACAAAACTAAACTAAAAGAACATCTTTTATTTAGATATCTTTGCACACATTATGGTAGTGTTGGAGTGGTATAGCTGAGATGGTCAGGAAATACTTGAGAGGCAAGAATTTTTATGGATGATAGCTTTTATTGGATCAGCTGCATGGTTGAGATTAGATTTAGACAATCTTTTGAATGCAACACATAGTTCTTCAGGTCTGAGGGAAAAACAGGTACAGCAAAAAATAAAAACAGCCTGCAAGGCCATGAAATTGGAGGAGAAATTCCTAGAGGTAGTAGACAAGCAAATCACAGAAAAAGGATAGCTTGATTAGAAGAAAGGTAAGACCTTTCAAAAGGGAAAAGAGTGGTTATCACCTATAGTGTGAAGAAAGATTATCAGGAATCAGGTAGACTGTAGTATGCCATAAATTCAATACCCATGTTCAGTCCTTGGTTCTTAGGTGTCCAGCCAGCTTATAAAATTTTTCCTTCTAGGCTCACCTTCTCAAGGTGTTTTGTAAATTTGTACTGAGCATGAAGACAGTGAGATCAGAAAGTGAGTCATTGCTCGGTGAAAAGTGTTCTCCTATATGTGCACGTGTCTCTATCCATAATCTTTTTCTACATTTTGATATGTAGTTATATCCACATAGGGTGCTTACAGACATGGGGAAAAAACCAAAACAGCACTTTACTTTCTACTCAGCGTGCCCCTGTATCAAGCACAGCGCATGCCCAGAAGAGAAATTGTCAGTTTGACCCAGTTCGCCCAGCATCTGTATAGTTCATGTGCTTCAGTGGGGCTTTTTGGCACCTTTACCAGCTATTACATGAACGTGCCAAAAAGCCCCACTGAAGCTCATGAACTATACAGATGCTGGGGAGCCAAATCAAACTGACACAATTCCTCTTCTGGTAAAGTGTGGTGCAGAGGAAGCGGGGAGTGAGGGGGTTTACATCTGCCAGCACACACAGTTTCCATGAGGCCATTTGGTGCATTGGATGAGATATACCACATTTTGGGATAGGCTTGTTGAAAAATCCATGGTTTCTTGCGTGTTGATTGTTGTAGCAGTGGAGATGTATTGACAGGCTTTCTATCTATTGCTAAGGCAAGGTTGTGTCCCATTTGATGTCTCTTGAACAGGGGAAGCTTACTTCTGATGATGAGTTGGACAAGGTTAGGGTGTTATTTGAAAGCCAGGAGCGAGGACTGGGGGTTGGGAATATTCCTTTTAAGTTCTGATCTTTATCAAGTAGGGGCTGTAATTGTTTGATAATTCTTCTTATCAGTTCAAATGTAGTGTAGTAGGTGACCGCCAAGGTTGTACACTTACAGGAGGTTTCTTTATGTATCATAGCAGGTTACTGTGAGGTATATGAGTGCTCTTTCAAAGATATGGACTATTGCAAAAATTACATTTTTTATAACACACCGTATGTGGTGTTTAGATTGTGACGTGCAACAAAGATTTCTCTGCATGAGTTAGGGCAGGTACATATTTAATTCACTGCAATATGTCTTCTAGGGCTGTGCGAAATTTTGCTGGCAGTTTTGTTTCGACTCTGTTTCGACTCGTTTCGAGTGAAATCAAAATGAAACAGAGAGCTTCAACACAGCCTCAAAATGGCTCACCAAAAGCATCCAGGAACGTCTCAAAGCCAAAAAGGAGCTGTACACCCAATGGAAGGGAGGGCCATCACCAAGGAGGGTTATACCTCCATCGCACGAGATTGTAGGAGGGCTGTTAGGCAGGCTAGGGCAGAGATGGAACTGGGACTAGCGACCCAGATCAAAGATAACAAGAAGTCCTTTTTTAAATACATAGGGGGTAAAAAGAAGGTACCAAGTAACGTGGGGCCTCTGCAGGACATGCTTGGTAATCTGGTGGTAGCACCAGACGACAAAGCTAATCTCTTTAACAGATTCTTTGCTTCCATTATTCTGAGCAGGGACAGAGGGACAATCAGGTGCAGCCAGGCCCAGGGTCAGTGAGAACCTAGTCAGGGAACTTCTGGAGGGACTAGACATGTTCAAATCAGCAGGTCCCGATGATCTCCACCCCAAAGTGCTGAGGGAACTGGCAGAGGTCATTGCGAGACCCCTGGCACAGCTTTACAAGCACTCATGGTACTCTGGCGAGGTGCCAGAGGACTGGAAAACGGCCAATGTGGTCCTCATTTTCAAAAAAGGGAGGAAAGAGGACCCAGGAAACTATAGGCCCATTAATTTTACCTCGGTCCTGGGGAAGATCTTTGAGAAAATTATCCAGGAGCACATCTGCAAGGCACCAGCAGGGGAGATAATGCTTAGAGGCAATCAACATGGGTTCATTAGAGGCAGGTCCAGTCAGACCAACCTGGTTGCCTTCTATGACCAGGTCACAAAAGCCATGGATGCAGGTGTTGCAGTGGACATAGTCTTTCTCGACTTTAGGAAGGCCTTCAACACTGTGTCTCTCCCCATACTCATTAAAAAATTAGGCAACTGTGGTGTCGACGTCTACAGTGTCAGATGGGTCCCAAATTGGCTGGAAAGCCACACCCAGAGAGTGGTGATGGACAGGTCATTTTTGACCTAGAGGGACATGGGCAGTGGGGTTCCCCAGGGCTTGGTCCTCAGGCCCCCACTGTTCAATATCTTCATCGGCCACTTGGTCAAGGGGGTGAAAAGCACCTTGTGCAAGTTCGCAGATAACACTAAGATGTGGGGAGAAATGAGCACGCTATAAGAGAGGGACAGGCTACAACTAGATCTGGACAGGTTACAAAGGTGGGCAGATGAGAATAGGATGGGTTTCAATACAGACAAGTGCAAGGTACTACACCTGGGGAGGAAGAACCAGCAGCAGACCTACAGGCTGGAGAACTCCCTTCTTGTCAGTATAGAAGCAGAAAAGGATCTTGGAGTCACTATTGATTCGAAGATGAACATGGGCTGCCAACGTGGGGACATCCATAGATGCATCACAAGCAGGTCCAGGGAGGTGATCCTCACCCTCTATGTGACATTGGTCAGGCTGCATTAGGAGTACTGTGTCCAGTTCTGGGCGCCACACTTCAGGAGGGATGTGGATAGCATCGAGAGGGTCCAGAGGAGGGCCACATGATCAAGGGGCAGCAGTGTAGGCCCTATGAGGAGAAGCTATGGGACCTGAACCTGTTCAGCCTCCACAAAAGAAGACTGAGAGGGGATCTGGTGGCTTCCTATAAACTTGCCAAGGGAGACCAGCGGGCAATGGGAGAGGCCCTGTTCCCCCGAGCACTACCTGGAGTAACAAGGAATACTGGCCATAAGTTGACTGAGAGTAGATTTAGGCTAGACATCAGGAGGCACTACTTCACAGACAGGGCAGCTAGGAGCTGGAACCAACTTCCAAGGGAAGTGATGCTTGCCCCTACCCTGGGGGTCTTCAAAAGGAAGCTAGACAGTCACCTCACTGGGGTTGTTTGACCCCAGCATCCTTTCCTACCCATGGCAGGGAGTCAGACTTGATGATCTTCTTAGGTTCCTTCCAACCCTACCAACTATGAAACGAGGCAAGTTGAAACATTTCAGAATTTTCAAAACGTTTCAAGTTTTGTAGCTCAAGCTGGGCTTGCCTACAGGGAAACAGAAACTAAAGTAAGGAGAGGGAAGGGGAAGAGGGTGCAAGGCCCCAGAACCCAAAAGCCCCTGCAACTATCTCCTTGAAAGCTGGCAGGCTTCGTGGCCTCAGCAGGAGCTAGCATGCCTGGAGTTTTGACCCCACTGTGGCTTAACACATACACGTGACATGAGTTTTTTACTTTGAAGATTGTGCAGGTTCCCTGAAACCGCTGCACCTATCTCCTTGAAACTTGGCAGGCTTCATGCCCTCAGAAGGCACTACCATTCCTGCAAGATTCATCCAAATCAGGCCAGAAATGACAAAGTTATAGGCTGTTTCAAGCTTCCCCATTCTAGCCTACGGGCGAAACATTGAAACAGTGTCGAAACAGTAAAATTGTTTCGACAAAAGGAAACGGAACAGCGGTTTTGAATTGAAACGAAATTCGAAATGAAGCACTGTTCTGTCGAAACGTCAAAATGCAAGTCGAAACAGAACGGTGCCGTTTCACACAGCCCTAATGTCTTCCTCTCACATCTACAAAACATTACTTTAAAAG